CAAATAGTAATAAATGTTACATTTCAATAAATTACAAATATCCAGTACAAGTTTTGTACTACGTAATTTTAACATAGTCAACGTAGTTATGTAAATTAATGTAGGAACATATTAAATAATATAATAATTATTATGTCAATATAATGATTGTATGCATAAAGTTTATGTAATTTTGTTCATTTCTGTAAAATAATATCTATACCTAATAGTGGAATAATACGCATTATCCAACAAAAAGTCTTTCAGTCGACGATCAAATGTTTCATCATTAGGCTCATTTTTTAAGTCAACGTGTAGGTGCTCATAATAAGCCGGGCCGATTACGCGCGGATTTTTTTTCAGTGAGTGCTAACCGTCGCGGTACGGCTCTCAGTCGTCCTGTGGAGCGGGTGTTATAACGGCTTTCATGCCTTTCAAAGTTGTGTAAGTTTTTTCGTATGAATGTGATTATTCCATATAAATACAACGAATACATGGTCATTATCCTGTGTCTCACGAATAAGTCCCTACAAGAGAGTCTTCGTGTTACTCCGGCAAATATCCTCATTGCTCGTTTCTGAATAATGAATACCTTGTCAGAATCAGTGGAGTCACCCCATAGAATGGTACCATACGACATTATGGAGTGGAAATATGCAAAATATGTTTGTCGTAGTATGGAATCTGTAAAGACAGGTTTTAATTTTTTTAGTGCATAAGTCGCACTACTTAGTCTACCACACATAGAATTTATATGACGCTTCCACGTTAAATTTTCATCCAGAATGAATCCTAAGAACTTACTGTGGTCAGTTATGGGCATTGGACTATCCAAACACGTTGGCCTCGGGATTGATCTACCAGAGAACAATATTAAACTAGATTTAGCAGCATTCAGTATGAGACCATTGGAAGTGAACCATTTCATCAGACTCATATATACATTTCCTACTTTTATATTGAGTTCGTCGTAAGTTCGAGCGCACACAATTACAGTGGTATCATCAGCGAACAAAACCAATAAGCCATCAGTGATATGGGCCGGTAGGTCATTAATAAATGTCAGGAAGAGGGTATTTCCCAATGAAGATCCTTGAGGAATTCCAAGGTTCACGTCACCTCCACTACTGCGTAGTTTTTTCCCACCTGATATTACTTCAACTGTCTGAATTCGGCGTGATAAAAATGATTTAAAAATGATCAAAAGATCGTATGTTTTGCTTCGCATACCATAGTGACGTAGTTTCTCCAAGAGTAATTCGTGACTGATTACATCAAACGCTTTTGACAGGTCACCACATCATTCCTGCCACTTTGCACTTACCATCCAACCCCGTAATTATTGAGTCCACCACCCTCTATGCAGCCGCTGTGGTGGACCGGTACTTACGATAGGCATATTGGTTGTTTGCCACAAGATCATTGTATTCTAAATGTGACATTAGGTGAGAGGAAATAATCGACTCAATTTGCTTTGAAATATTAGGTACAATAGTTATAGGTCTATAATTATCAACTCTGCTCATCTCACCTTTGCCCTTGTACACAGGACATACACGCGTGCTCTTTAGGACGTTTGGATACACTCCCGTGCAGAACATCTCATTGACGAGTTGTACCAGTAGAGTTGATATGACTATATATGAATCCATATCATTTTCGTAAATCTTTATACAATGCATTTCCATTAAAATGTATACAATTAGAATTGTGATTATATCATAATTATGTAACCACTTTTAAAACTCCGGAATTTGGTAGATTTTAGTCATAATGGCACCGTTTTCAAAAATATAAATACATAAATTATTAGCGCCAGTTCTAAACTTTATTGTGTGTATTTTGCTAGGTCGGGCCATAACGGCGTTAGTTTTATACTACCCTCAACATTTTTACGTTGATAATTACAAGTGATCGGTACGTACGCTATGTTCAATTAATGGTCTTAATGGTTTAATGGTCTTTGAGTTTTCAAAAGCGCTGTGTAGTCATCCAGTTTACGGACCGGTTCTAGCACAGGCAGTATAAATTTCCTTGAATATCTGTCACATCAAGCGCTGCTGCCGTCAAGCGCGCGTATGAGGTATCGACGCAGGTTAAAAATCAACGCCTTCATAACTTATGTCAACTTAGACATGCAGATTTTGTCAAATGTTATCCATCATGCCTTCACACTTATAACAAGTAACGATTCGAAGATTCAGGGCCTTGATGAGAAATAAACGACCTCGTTTATAGGAAGCAATCATTTTCTCAACCAGCCTATCACTGTTTTTGATACTACAAAAAAAAACATTATACATTTGTCTAGCTATTTCTGAAAGACTTTTCCGGAAAAATCTAATCTAGAAAAGATTCTTTTAGGAGACTTTAAACAACAAAACCACATCAAGCACAAGTTTCAACGTTGATCTTCCAAAAACATCATTAGTTCCTGCAGCAATTTCAAACCTCCCTCCTGAAAAATAATCCAATCCCGGTCCTAGCCAGGTTATGTAACAGGCTCCAGTGCGGCGTCAGACGGCGCCGGCCAGACGGGCGCCAGCCTCGCACAGGCGCTGTCTCGCCCGGACTCTTGGCGCCCGACTAGGGGCTGGCTACTGAGCACCCGGAGATCGAATATTCCCATTCTCTTGCATTGCTTTCCGTGCAGGATAATAAAGCTTTCTGAAGTTTCTTCTTCCGAGTGTTTTAAAAGCATTTCCGTTATAAAACTGATCTAGTTTTAGAAAATAATATAAAAAATTTTCATTAATTAGGGCGAAGATGTGTGCTAGGACGGGACTAAAACAAAGTCTAATTAAGTTTTCAACTTTGTCACTAACAAATTATATTTAAATTAGTATCACGCCACGTTTTAATACTCGAGACGTCATATTATTGCAAAATCCAAAAGTATAGTTAAATATTGCATAAACCATGAACCGAAAGTTTATCTGCCATTGAAATGGCTGCAAATTTATACGTCAAAACAAACTCAGATGTTCTAAAACATTGCATTAGTAAATAAACACAATCTCTTTTATCTCGAACTATCTCTTGTTAACTATAACTTGCTATCTCCCTTACAGACGTTTGGCGCCCAGCACGGGACCTTTTATGGCTTTTTGATTTGCACAAATTTATTGCTCCCGAAACTTATTTTGCAGATTAAAAACTTGATTTTGGATTGAATTTCTGATTTATAACACTGTTAGAGAGATATATCGAAATGGTTTTTCGAAATTGTTCACTTATCTTTGTATATCTGGTGTATTCCGAGGGTGCGGGTAGATATTATGTGTAACTAGTGCGACAGTATCTTATCGTAGCTTATAGTATGGTTGAGTATAAGTAGGTGGATATCGCAATGTCTATTTTTGTTACTGTTTTATCTAAATTAATATTCGAATGATATAATGCCTGCCAATGAATACCTAGTGCAGTGCAATACGAAACTATGATTTGTTTTGAATTCTCTCATAGCGTCGTTGATTTTTCACGTTTTCTGATCAAACCGAAAGGTTTCCCCTTTTCTCCCTTCAACGCCAATGGTGGTGAGATATATTACAGGAACATGATCACATCAAACTTGACAAGAATTGCTTGTTCATTGATAATAAGTTTTTAAGAGTTTCTGCTGTCTAAACTATCGCAAGCATTCTATGGGTAATTTTAAAGTCCTGACTCATCGTATTCTCAAACGGATGAGAAGAAAAAAAGCGCCGAGGATACCTGGACTTCAGCCAACAGTCTGATTGTCTATCATAAAGCCCTTTCGGCGGTTTAGAATCACAATGAGAAATGACCACGATTAAAAAGGACCACTTCTGAAATTGATCATTTCTAGAATTGACCATTTCTTGAATTGACCACTTCTTGAATTGACTGCTTCTTGAATTGACCTCTTCTTCAAATGACCATTTTGTTTTTTAATTATAATTTTTTTTACTACTTTTAGACCCTTTCGCCAATTTAAGACCATGCCCAGACATTTGTCTAAACTAATTAGTTATTTGAAGATGTGGTCATTTCTCATAGTGGTCCTAAACCGCCGAAAAGTATAAAGCATCCTGAGGTTATGGAAGAGTTTTCGCCTTTGATTGATGATTAGTAGGACAATAAAATGTATATGATCTGAACTCGGAAATCGAAACCATGTAGAGCTGAATAATTCTTTAAATCTAATTCGCTAAAGTATAAACAGGTCCTTACTAAACAGGACGTACGGCGTCCAGCTCTGCGGCAGTGCCGCTAAAAGCAAAGTTCAGATACAACGTTTCCAAAACAAAATACTCAGGACTATTGTGGATACTCCTTGGCATATAGGAAATAAGGATCTGCATCGCCATTTCGGGATAGAGCCCGTAATTAAAGTGATAAACAAATATGTCGTAGCTCACGAACGTAGACTTCATTAGCTCGTGAACGTAGAGGCTATACAGCTACGAGACAATAGAAATATAGTGCGTAGACTGCTAAGAACAAAACGTTTCGAGTAGTATAGTTAACTTACAATGAATAAAATAAATATTACTGCCAGTGCTAATTAGAATATGAGTACTAATATAGATATTTTGTCGATGGATAATTTCTTTGTATATTATCGAGTTGTTCCGCGAAACACATCGGAAAATTTGGATCTTAATTATGTATTTATGGGACCTGTAAAGAGCCCGGAAAGTTAGCTTGTTTGAAAACAAATATAACCATATAAGCGAGATTTATAGCAGAAATATAATTATCTTTCTAAATTATGTTAAATTAAAATTGCTTATTAGTCTTGTATTTTAGGCTAGATTGTAATTAGTTGCAATTAGTTCTGCTTTATAAAAAAAGCTAACAATTTTCTCGGGATATTGTCAAAGCTCTCGAGGAACTAAAACTTTGTTGAGAAATATCATACGATTAATGCTGGAGATAGAAAAGTGTCTGGTAGTCAACAAAGTTCCCGAAAGTTTACGTTTTTCTTAGGTACATGTTGAACAGAACACTTGAAAGAATACATACTGTTTACTGACATACTGTTTCTCTCTTTTCAGGTAAAATGACTGCAATGTGAAAGAGAAGAAAGAGATACGCCCAAACAAGTGCCTTATTAGAACTCGAGCCAGCAAACAGTGCCTGAAAATTAGCTTAACTTAGTATAGGAACGAACGAGATTACGAAATCGACTTCGAAGTTTTATTTGGTAAGTAACTATGAATTACTGGCAAACTTTTAAATTCTAAATCTATACATTTATTGAAAATGCCAATTCTATTCATTGTTTTAGCACCGCCTAATTTATTCACCATCTGTCTTTTATGGAAGACTAATTGCAATCGTTCACACGTCATCACCCTATTAAAAAATTATCAGGAAAACTGTACTTTCTTATTTTTCACAATTCTACACATTTGTTATCTTTACCCTTAACTGTCTTGAATAATTTTGTTGGTCGAAATTCGAAAATTTTAGACTTCGTCACCACGACGTTTTTTTAATAATATCAGTAAGCGACACGCCTATCTATAACAGTTGCAATGCCACTCTGAGCTTTAAATTGCGACGATCTGAAGGGCATTGCCACTGCGCCCGTCACCCTGAGACAGTTAAGATGAAAAGTCTCATGTGCCTATAATTTCACGAGCACCCTTACCCTTCCAAACCGGAACGCAGTAATGCTTATGGACGAACATTTTCACAAGGAGCTCTACTGCTACGGAAAAATGTTAATTTAAATATTTTGAAACTTCATGTATATCGGTTGATGAACCGCATGAAGTTTCAAATTGTGCTATTTTAGTGGATGCCGAGAAAATTTCGCTTGCTACGTTGACATGATCGTATATTATATTACAATAATTATGTCCCGAAGATTTCAGGGATATTGCTATGATATTGTTTTCTGTGCGCCTGTGTTTATTCAAATTTAAAGTTCAAAATACAAAAATATCTTTATTTCATAGGTAATAAGCTTCTTACATTTCAAAACGTCACATTGGAAGAAACTCTCAAGGTTGCTCTTTGTATATAGACATTTGTTCATGTTTATTATTTACATTATTTATTATTTAAAATATAGATTCTGAAAGAGCTAAACGGGTTACTACCATAGCTTTTTGTCATCCAAGGAACCGCTTAAAATTATTTTTGTAACTTGTGAAGATGATTGTCAGGAACAGCCACATTTATTTTGATTCCATATCTGTTCCACGTGATAATTGCATAGACAGCAATGCTCACACTCGTGGAAACTGTATCATATGCAAAGTAAACCAACTCAAGTGCTTTACAGTCCTATAAAACGCTCGACACGCGTGAGAGCTGTGAGAGCTTGTTGCTGTCACAATATTTACACGGCAAAGGGTGCCACTAAAGCTTATAATGTGAAGGTGCTTTGATATCGTTACATAGCATTAATTGTTAGCGTTGTGAAGTTTATTAAAATGTAAAAAAATGACAAGAAAGCGAAACGGAGGTGTCTCAGTGAGGTGGGCTAAGATTAAAAATATACTGTCACATCCTTGGTTTATAAACCTCGCTTAAAAAAAGAATCACGTTACATTTTAGGAACTATGAAAAAAGACTTATTTCAAGCAAAAATCTTTAAATTCATCCCGCAGCCACACATTTCCATCCACGTCCTTTTAAACGTACGTAATATTTTTGTGTTTTCACCAAATCGCGTACACTTAAGCGAGCCGGCTTCCCGCTGCGTTGCATAGAATTTACATTTGGGTTGTTCCAACACATCAGTTTGCACGCTTCACGTTTCTTAGCAAATGTTTTGCTGTTGGTATTTTTTTGTGGGATAAAATCTATAACTAGTTACGTAAAAATCCGCGATAAATAAATATAACCAATATGCTTTACACGCGTATACTTTATTCAACATAGATTTATGAAAAAGTATTATATTAAATTTTACAACTGCGTCGTACGTGTGGCGCACTATAAGCTTCCGGAATTAATAGGAAATACTATAAATGGTCAGAAACGAATTTATTGCTCCTCAAAATATTCTCCGTTAGCGTTAATGCACTTTTTCATACGAATGGACCAATTTTGAAAACATTTATGCCACTCCTCCCTGACAATCTGTGAAACATATTTTTCATACTCTTCGACAGCCTATTCAGGTGATGAAAATCGTTGACCGCATAGCTGGCAAGATAGGCGCTTTATCTTCGAGTTGCGGATACCAGCCCGTTGCACCAAGTACCAAGTTGTGTAGTATTGATTGTGTTTGACTCATGCCTATGCGTAAAGATGCCCGAATCTCATGGTATGTCACATGCCTGTCTGTTTTGATCATACGGCGCACAGTATTGGTGTTTTTGTTTTTCACAGCAGTGGACGGGCGACCATCACGAAATTCGTCAGTAAGATTCACATGACCGCGTTTGAATTCTGCAAACGTGCTATAAATAGTCGTCTTGCATGGTGCTTCATCGCTAAAAGCATTTTTTTATACGTTTCTCATAGATGGCGCTACCACTAAAAGTCGTTGAAAAACCAAATACAAAGACACGACAACACGCACATAGAAAAATTCCTGAGGTCCGCTGGTTCGTTCCGTGGCTTAGTTGGTAAGCGTCTGGCACGGTATGCTAGAAGACGTCGGTTCGAATCCGGTCGGATCGAAGCAATTTTTCTGAACGTTCGATTTTTGTGTTAATAGTTGTAATTACTTTTTAAATATTGTTTATGTAAGTGGCCAGTTCCGGAAACGCATGGTGCCTCTATGTAGTACTTTGATTTAAACTTTCACGATTTTCACACATTATTTGACTTAATCATGAAACATATTTTAATACGTCCATGGTCTCGAAGTATAAATGTACATAATACATAGTAGTAAATTAACTGCATCCATTTGGAAGGAAATGAAGCCTGGCGCAAAATCTTTTCCGAACGTAGTTTTATCTGGACTGCGATATGTTATATTTTCAAGCTTGTGCATGCGATGTTCAGTTTCATTATTGTAGAAAAAATTCGTCTACAATTTTTCTAAAATTTATACAATTTCAGAATAATTGGACGTCTGTCACGTCACTGTGAAATAATTAAACTATATTATTCCACCGCGCACATGTCATAATAACATTTCTATTGATTGCTATCAACATTGCATCTCAATTCATCTCGAACAATATTTACATCATCCGCTATCTACACATCAAAATTTGTATCAATCGAGCTGTCAACAAGCTCTCAGGCAGAACCCTTCGCGTCGCCAGCCATTACTTCTATTCCATCGCACCCCCTTACATATTAATTATGCGCCACATCTTTCTAAAGGGTACTCCATACTGCTTTAACGGCTTCTCTAGAAGGGTCAATTTGGATATTCAACTTTGTTTAGCGTTTTGTTGATTTTATAAACACCGAACTCGTTTTGTCGATCAGTGCTCTTTTGTCAGTTCGAACCACAGGTGTATCCTTAATGCATCTTTTGTCGAGATGTTTGGAAATTAGGGATGGGGTCGCGAAATTAATGGCACAATTTAATGGTATCGATGATCGAAAAAAACTTTATTGGTCTTCATAAAATCGAATCGGCACTAAATTTCGTAGTGACATGATAAGAGGATTAATAACTCCCTAGACTCCCGAGGGCCGATACGAATCAATAAACGAAATCACGAACGGAAATCCGAGTCCAAGATGCATTTCCATCTTTCACCGTCTTCACCCTCCGAATATCTCCCCTCAGCGTGGTGTGTGCGAGTAAGACGGGGCTGTGACAGGGCGCGTGCGCGGCGCGACCCCTCACAAGCGTTTGAGAAGGTTTATAGTGCGGATCGCAAGATCCTGGCGCGTTGCCGGGGTCGTGGTCCATTCCTCCGTGGACCGTCCGCTGCGGCGGAGGTCCCGTTCTCTCACCCCCTGCCCCAAACTACTGCACTTTTGCACTTAGCTACAAAATTTAACTGGTGCACATCAAGGGTCGCTTCTGAAACTCATACTTTTTGCAATATACAGTAGTTTTAAAACAGGGTGTGAGAGAGCGAGAAGGTATAGTTTATTAATCTAAAGTGGGAACGAAACGTCGAGATGGCTCGCCGCTCCTGTATGAGGTAAGTGTTCAGCCACGTGCTCCAACTTTTAGTTTTCATGGAAAGTTTCTGTTTGTTCTGTTGTTTGGGCAGCTGGTTATGAAACGGCCTCATTTCGGCTATAATATGTTTTGTATTGTCTGCCTTTATTGAACAATTGGTACTTGAAGATTAATTGCCTTCTTGGTACTGATTTCTATCAGCGGCAATTTTGTGGCTTCCTCATTTGAATTTGAATAAGGAAAATATTTGTATAAATACGAAATTTCGGATTTATCTTCTTTTAATTTTTTAACTGTTGAATTATTTTCAGAAAAATGTATTTCTCCTGTATTGTTTTTTAAATTGCCAGTTGCTTATTTATGTTACTTCAAAAAAAAATCCTAATCAATATCGCATATGAAGTTTTACAGACTTGACAAATATTTATTTACATATTAACCGCTTTTTTAATATTGTAATTTTACTTAACAGCATATTATAATATGTAATATACATTAAATATTCCTTTTCCGGTTCATCTCTCTTCACCTGTTCTTAAACTTGTAAATAAGCTATTCGATTTAAAGTTTATCCACGTAAATAGTTTCTATTTCTGACTTTTCAAATGTTTATTAAGAAGTAGTGTACTAAAAGTTTGAGAATTATGTAGCATCACTGAGGCCATAACGCAATATAATTTATATACCCTACGATTTTCATATTTTTCAGCAACTTATGATAGATATCGGCAATGTATCTAAAATATTTTCTCCTTATTACACATCGATAGGATGTAATCATTTGATTACCTCCAGGTTCAAACCTAATATTATTTTCCCTTTGATGTCACATCATCACTTGTCTCCATTATTTATCCTCTACATAACTCTTCAATTAAAATACCCGTGACACGCAAACCAACGATTTGGTATAATTTTCTCATCTCTCAGCCTATAATTAACGTTCGTTAGTCACTTCATTGAAAACCTCCCGCGGTGTTATATTGGGCTTTATTTGTGCTACCGTTTCTGGATTACGGGGTAGTACCGTTTTCGATCTTAAGAGATTATTGTTTTGTTTGAGCTGCTTTACTTTCATTTGTACTAGATCTACAATAAAAAAGTCCATGGATTATTTTTTTGTGTTATTCCTTTTATTCTTATTA